GCTTTTGAATAAAGACTCCTTTCCTTTATCACCGAACCTTTGCTTGGAGGGTCACGCTGGGCAGAGAACCCCAAGAGCTGTCCAGCAACGGGAAGTGCTTGCAGAATTTGTGAAAAGTCACTTGACTGGCTAGAAGGAATGGATGATGTCTTGGATACAGATCAGAGACCATATGTCATTATGGTTTGAACTCTCTAGAATCTTCCCGAAAACACCATTCAACTCCTGACTTCCCTTAAGAATAACCACCACTCCTTTTTGAACACTTCATGTGCTAAACATTGCATGAGGCACCTGGTCTTTCATCCTCGATGCACTTGCAGGTGGTACCCTCCCCATTTTATGGGGGAAGAAGCAGGTTTCCTAGAGGTTAAGTACCTAAGACAAGCTCACTCAGCTAATGGATGGTAGAGCTGGGATAGACATTCAAGTCTGCTTGTTCTAAAGCCTGTGCTTTTTCCCTGGACTACAGACTAAATGACAAAGGCAACTCCAGAGCTAACGACAGTTCATAAGACCCCGCAGTGTCTTCCACGAATTCAGAGCTCATGCCTGTTGGGAGGAGAAATGGAACCAGCTTGGCTGCAAACTTCAGCTCAGCAACAGGGGCTCTAGGGCAAGAGTTTTAAATCTGGGTTTGTGGATTGACCACATGAGCACCATGACTGTTTCATCTGTTAAGAGAAAAATGTAACTATATTATTTTAGTTTTAAAAAATGTTTTGATCACTGTGCTTCCCTATAACCCATCCGTTGAATTTATTTTGTGCATTTAAAAATACTGTTCTGAGGAAGGTTCCCTAGGCCTCCCCAGGCTGGCCAAGTTTCCCGGTTCAGAGCAGGGGGACTGAGCCGCATCCCAGCCAGAGCATCTGGCAGCCATAGAAGAGCCATGGAGGGCGCAGGGCTGACAAGAGACTCAGAGAAAAGGGGTATTTGCAGATTCCTTCTAAGCACAGACGGAGACAGACTAGCCTATGAGGGCTGCTGGCGTTTAGGAATGTTTGCTCTGTGTCAGGCGCTGTCTACACCATCATCCTGTTTAATCCACCAGCAAATGGTGAGGTGGCTGCTGTTAGTGTCCTCGCTTCAACACCCCAACTTTGCTCCTGGGGCTGAGCTGACACTGAAACCCAGGCCTGTTGCATTTCGGCGCCCACAGGTTGAAGTGGACAGCGCTGCCCAAGCGCCCACCCCCGGCTCCCCGAACACCCAAAGCTGGCATGGCTAACCCAGCGTCAGGGGCCCGTGAGGACCTGTGGGGGCCAGAGCGCGCCTGAGAGGCTGGACGTGCCCGTCTGAGACGGCGCTGGACCAAAATGAAGAAGGTGGCCTGTGACCTGTGAACTTGTGGATTCGGTGTTGGAGTTAGACGAGCATGTGACTCAGTCCCTAAGCAGATGGCTGATAAGATACAGACGCGGTGGTTGGCACACACCACTGTATGATCATAATTTAACGGAACAAATCGTGCCGGGCTAACCTCGTTCGTCTTTACGGCTTCGCCCTTCCGATGGTCTGGGGGTGTCGGAGGAGAATGCCAGCTTGTAGATGGCTTTCCAGGAGGGGTCTGCTCCCATGTCTCATGATCCCCGTGAGGACTGATTTGGAAGAGTATCTGCTTCCTCCCTAGCCCCGCATCCTCCACAGTAGGTGCACATGCTTCATAGAACAGGAAATGCTACACTATTTGGGCGAAATCAATCTCATGGATTTGCTGGGGCTCCAGGAAGGGTATGGCTAATGTCTGCTTTTTCTGACCAAAGGGACAAGGGAACTGCCACCAAGGCCAGGACGGCTGTGGCTGGTGTCCCTTGTCCCTCCCCGCATCCTGGTTGACGCAGCTGCAGAGTTTCTAGAGAGTAGGACCTCCTCAGAGGGTGTTGGGGGGGTGCTCCTCCTGAGCCCCAGGTGCCCAGCCGCAGAAGGGGCTGGGAGGAGTGTCATACACTGTTGGTGGGGACAGAAGAAGCAGGTATTTGACTCCGGGATTTTTTAGAAAGCAAGGAATGTGAATTTTCACCCCATCAGGGCTGAAAGCGACCTTTGAGACCATCCATTGTGCCTCTGAGCATTCTGATGAGGACCCCAGGGTCCGGAGGGGTCCCCCAGAGACCCCGTGGCAGCCCCAAACTGTGTGTGGGTGTCCCTGACTCCTAGGCCTGTGCCCCACAGCCCTCTCACTCGCGTCTCCATCCCGCCCTCGTGGCTCCTTGTTCTCTGAAGGGGACCGCTGACCTCCGGAACGTGGCCCCCCGGCCCCGAGGCTCTGGCCCTCACTCACTTCTCCCGCCCCATCTCTCTCCCTCTGCTGCCCGCCCTCCCCTGCCCGCATCCTGCTCTCCACCTGGGACGTCAAGGCCCCGGCCAAACACAGAACAACTCCCCGTTTCCCAGCCCCCCCCCCCAGCTCTCCTGCACCTCCGCCACGCCCTCTCCAGCCTCGCTGCCACCGCCTGTGGCCGTCTCCCCAGAGCCCAGGCCTGGGCCGGGGTCTTGCACTTCGTGGCTCCCAGTTTGCAGCACTCTACGCTACCCCTCCCCCCACACCCCCGTCCTTACTTCTCGCTGGTCTAGAGAACGCAGACGGGGCCTGGCACACAGCAGGTGCTTAATAACTATTTATTGACTGTACCGGGTCTATAAATATTTCTTACAGGCTCCGAGCAGAAAATATTAGTCTCCTTATTCCTTCAGGCTGCATCTTGTCCCCCCTGGTCCCATAACTCTATATGCATCTGCTGACATTTGGCTTCTTTTTCCCATGGCCTTGGAGGCCCAGGGCCCAGGGTCCCCGCAGGCTCTGACCACGGGGGTGAGGCTCCTACTGAGGTATCAGGGCCCTACGGCCCCTGGGGCCTGGTTTCTGCCCAGCGTGGAGCTGGTACATTGCCTGCCACAGCCGGCCGTTAAACACAACTGCGTCGATGTCCCGCCCTCTGCGTTAAGTTTTATTATTTCAATGCCACCGGGCGCGGCACTGCCCTTCCTGATAGCGGCCGCTGCTCTCCGGAGCCTGGTTCTGCCAGACCAGGCATCCTGACCATGGCCCTCCCTCCTTATCACCTTGGAAATACGCGGGCAGTAACTTTTATGCCTTAAATCCAAACTGGACAATAAAATTAGGGAAGCAGGTGAGTGTTAATCTGCAGGCTGCCTGGGGCGGTGAGCTGAGTCCTTCCAAGTCCTTGGGGAAAGTGCTGAGGTTGTCCTGCCCTCCCTGAGCAAGCTTTCTGCAGCCTTCGGAGAGGGCCGAGCAGGGAGGGAGGACAGAGGGCCAAGGAGGGGCTCCTGGGGGGAGGCCCAAAGGCACCCAGCAGAGCACGTTTTAGTCCATCCGCGTGGGGCAGCCCCAAAACAAGCTTCGCCTGTACCCGTGTGAGAGGGTGCTGAGACAAAGGCAGGTCAAAGGAGCCTAGGGACACACGCACGAGTCGATCACTCACGCGACACCTTCCCTCACACTGGGCAACAGCTGGCGTTCATCTGCCACGTATTGCATTCCTACTGTGCGCTGTGACTTCCATCAGCTGTCATCTCTACCGCAGGCTCCCGACCTTGGTCCTGACGGGGCCTCCCTCCCCAGAGCAGGAAGCCCCGTTGTCAGGAAAGCTCCTCTCTCCACACCTCACCTCTGGGCACAATTCACAACATGACGGGTGTGTTCTCATACCCACGAATCCCTCAGGCATTTCAAGAAAGACTGATGGCGTTCGTACCCGGCAGGTCCGCTGAGGCTTTGAAATGAATAAAAAGTCAGAATCAAGATCTGCTCAGGGCATCAGGAGGATTCTTCCCTGCTGCCGCAGCCCAGTAAAATGAAATAAATAAATAAATCTCCACGCGTAATATTGGTGGGTGGCCACAAACCAAAGGGACGGAGGGGAGGATCCGGGTGATTCGGTGAGACGTTGTCTGAGGATGGGGCCCCTGCGTGGGTCTCTTCTTCGCACCAGCCTCGGTTCTCAGAACCACGCTGACGCCTGTGGTACCTGCCCCTCGGGGGTGGGGGCCACACAGGCGTCCGTGCATGCGCTGGGCTTGCAGGGCGGGGGGCTGCACGCTGCTGCTCTCTGAGCTGGAGCGGAGAATGGTTTCTGGAAGGAGGCGAGGCCAGGCCTGGAGACAGCCTCTCACGCCTCTTCCCCCCGTCTGGTGGGAAGTGAGGCATCACCCTGGTGGTCTGTGCGGCACGCCCTCCATACAGGGGGCCTGGGAGGGAAGACAGGTGTCGGCATGAACTGGAGACCTAGCCTGTCGGGGATGCTGGGAAGGCTGCCTGGGGGAGACGGCCGAAGTGAGCCCTGGACGCCCCCACTCCCGTCCAGCCGCCCACATCACCTCTCTCTCTCGAGTGGCAGAGGTGGCATGGAAGCGCCAACACTTGCGAAATCATCTCTTTCTACGGGGCTCACCGTACAAAGCGGTGCTTGCGGCAAGGGAGGCTGTCAGTGGACAGAGTTATAATTACCAAACGCTGCTTGTGACCCCGCGCCCGGCATCCGGTGGTTGCTGGCCCAGCTCCTCACTTCCCAGGGCTCGGGGGTGGGTTGGCACTTCCCGTTGCCTCGTCCAGTCTCAGGTTCTAGCCGGACATGTCATCTCCGTCACCCTCGTTCACTGCCACTACCCCTTCCCGCCCACCCGACTCCGGTCCACTGGGGAAGTCATGCTTCAAACCGACATTTCTTTTTAAATTTTTAATCAGTCTGTGTCAGGAAAAAACAGGATTTGATCACACTTCCAGTTCTCACGGCTCTCTGAGCGTAGTGATGGTACAGATTTGTTTGCATTTATTGAAAACCCAGAGAAGGAAAGGAAGCAGCTCCACACAGCAACGTGTATTGGAAGAGACACTCCAGGACTTGGAGACTTTTTTTTTAATTGATCATTTTCTTAGGAACACCACCCAGGGGGCTCCTGGGAGTGGCCAGAGGCCCTAGAAGCGGGAGGGCACGGCTGTCTTTGGGCTGCAAGGCCGGCCTGCAGACTTTGTGGGACAAAATAAAAGGAAAAATAAATAAATCTAATTTCATACTTTATTTGGAGGAAGAATGTATTTACAGAAACAATTTCTGTTTTGGAAAAGAAAATATGGCTGAGTTTGGGAGTGAGGACAACACTCATAATAGTTCATTGGGGAGGGCTCATGACTCAGATAAATGGTCAAGTGGAATCTTTTTAAAATGCTGTAACAGAACATTACCTTGGTTACTTTCTCCACCATGAGATGTATTTGAACACGTTCTGACCATGTGTGAAGTCACAACATTTATCCAATGCCGTAAATCCAGGTGCTAGACCATGAACACAAATACTGACGCTATTTCACCAGAGGACAGCACGGAGTACATGAACTCTACTTTTTGAAGAAGTTTCCAGAAAGCAGAGTCTGCCTGAGTCCTTCCTTTCTCGCCGGGACTGCCACATCCCGTTTTAGTCTTGCGTGAGTACAAGTGTCCAGGTGAGGGGAAGATTGTCCCAAAGTCGCAGGAGAACCTTCCCTTTGGGAGCCTCCAGGGGGCGCTCTGCTGCTCTTCCTGCAGCTGAACCCAGACTTCCTGCACAGGCTGATCCAGCCTAACTTGGAATCCGGAGACAGTTTCAAGCAGATTTGGGAAGCAAATTTACATAATGTGACATGCTTTCAGAGGAGGCAGGTAGTACTCATGACTTCAGTCAATGGGACGCAGGATTCAGTGGCACATGCGTGGAACCGCCTTGTGTTCCAGCATGAAACGCACCAGACGGCGCCCCACAGGCCCACATGGGGGGTTCCCCTTGGCCTTGGCAAATCCTCAGGTCCTATTTAAAAGATCTGCCCCCACAGTTTGTCCGTGTTTGTGACCCACTGTTGAGTCCATGATGTACGATGTGAGTCGCTGTCCCCATGTAGACAAATTAAACACGTCCCCCATGCCCCAGCTCTGTTCTTCCGTGGCCTCACTCCAAGGTACAAGGTCCCCTTCCCAAAGGGGCAGGAGAGTCACGGGGACTTGGCCTAGCTACAGGTCTTCTTCCATTAGAGGGATCTCTGTGCAAGAAGGGATGGTTATTGTTTAGTACACCGAAAACGCCGCAACCATCTGAGATTGCAAGCTCTATTGGAACACCTACAAGTCCTGCAATCAGTGAGGAGAAGAAAATGTTAAGCTCCACATAGCAGTTAATAATCAAAACCACCGACTCCTCCGCATAACATCTATTTGCTGGGACATCTGAGACCCAGCTCATAAAAACGGAGATGTTAGATTTTAACCGTGTCCCCTACTGGTCATACAAGCCAAGGGGTGACAAGGGCAGGGGCAGAGAGGCAGCAGGAACTGCAGAAAAGGGGCCAAGCAGGAACCAGGAGACCCCTGTTTCCGCACTGACACTGCCACTCACTGTCGCTATGAGCTGGAATCCGTGTCTCGTTGGAAAAGTGGAGCCGGGGACCCCTCCCCTGGGAAATGGCCCTATTTAGTCGGATGCATTTTTCCCACTTTACCCTAAGCTCCACTCTGCATTTCCTGTGACAGGCAGATGAACATATTCTATTCCACGCCTGATAAAAAATAACCTGCGTGGACCCAGAAGTTCTCCGGGACCGGGCCCCTCTGCTCGCATCTGGGTCTTCCCTCCTGACCCGCGTGTGTTACCCTCATGCTAGGCCCCGCTTTCAGAAGTCCTGCCTAATTAAGGGATACACGAGGAGAGCAGCCTGGATCATAAAGACGCTATGAAAACCAAGCACCGGCTATTGGAGCCGCTCTGCTCTGGATGGCTCAGCGCCCTTTTGTGCCTCCTGAAATTTCAGTTAATGGGCTCATCACTTGTGAGATGATGATCCCTCCTCCTCCTAATTGGCCTTGTCCACGGCTTCTACACGCAGAGAGAGCAAGAAGCAATTTAAGCTGAGTGAGAGGGAAACAGATTGATTCGGCTCCATGCTGGCTCGAAGATGCTGGGTGCTGGGTGCGGAGGCATGTGCAGGGTGCTCAGGCCTCAGGGTAAACACTCACCATCTGCGATGTCGATGCCTGGGCTGGTGGAGGCCACCTCCCCCGCCGTGCGGGTGACTGTGTCAGGGTTGTCAGAAGCAGGGCCCCCTTGGCACATGGGAGATGAATATAGACTCTGGAGCAGCTCGGATGAGCCCGAGACGCTGTCACAGGTTTCTGACTCCCCCGGGCCTGTGTCCGTGTCCCCTGAGCCGGGGTATGCTGGGGGGCTCTGGTCATCCACGGGTAAGGGGCAGCCCTGGCCCACAGAGGCCAGGTACCCGGGGCCTAAGGCACTCATGCCGCCACTCACGGCCTCGTCGTAGGACGGGAGCATGACGGGCACGCCGTCCACCACCACGAAGTCGGGGTCACTGCTGGAGCTCCTGGGAGGCGCCCTGTGCGAGGGAAAGCAGAGCCGACCTGTCAGAGGGACGCGCCACCGCCGGGACGAAGCCCCCGTGGCCCCCACCGCAGCTGAGGTCCGCAGGGCCCACGACGGGCGGAGCCGTGCGTGGATGTGGTGCGGAAGAACCCGCTCCCATCCGGGCCGCCTCTGGCTCGGGGCGCTGTCGCGGTGGACACTCAGGGGAGCAGGGGCTTTTTCTCCTGTCATGTGCCCTCGGCCTGTCCCCTCTGCTCTGTCCTTACGCTTCCTTCCTCCCTCTCCGACCTCTGGGCTTGGCCTTATGGCCATAGCCTTGCGGGCAGGGGACCATGTGGCCATTCCAGCCGAGCGTCAGCATGCCTCCGTGGTGTCCCCTGGGAAGGCTGCTGGTAACAGAATAACACCGTTAAGACTCTAGGAAACTTGGGACTCTACGTGCCCACAGGGAAAGGCTGGCCCCTGTGATGCTTATACTCTTTTGCTTCCTGTTTCAGTATAAAAATCCCTAATTTTTAGTCAAGATAGAAAAACAACAACAGGAAAAAAGGAGAAAGTTCTGAACATCATCTCACTACCTGCTTCAAGTTACATCAGACTCACTTCCACCTCCCAACCCAGCAGCCACGTGAACATAAGTTATACGCGTGCGACCTGCTGCAAAGGATCCTGGGAGTGGGCAGACGGTCTGTCGTCTCTGCCCTTACATGGCACTCATGCAGCTCCTGGCCCGGCCCCTTTGCCTCTCGCCACCCTGCAACCTAAGCCGGCGGAGCTGCGCCCAGGGGGAACCAAAGCCCCAGCCGGGTCCAACCCCCACCCACCCTCTGCCCCTGATCCCCTACAGTAACCAGGGTGGCCGACAAAGGGGCGGCCTCTCCTCCTGGGCCCAGCCGTGACCCTCAGCTCCCACAGACACGGTCTTCAAGACCTCTCCAGTGTCTGCACCCGTGGGACCTGGGAGGAAACCCACTCTGGGCTTGCCCTTGAGGCTCTCATCTTCTACCGGGAGAGATGAGCCCAACTTCTCCAAAACAATTAAAACATAATATCAGATGATAACACTCAAGGGATTTTAAAATATCAAGCAGAAGAGTCTAGGGGAACAGTTTTAAAAATCTAGCCCTGGCTGGGGGGCTCAGTTGGTTGGAACAACATCTCATACAGCAAAAGGTTTTGGGTTCGATCCCCCGTCAGGGCACATATCTGGGTTGTGGGTTTGATCCCCGGTCAGAGCACGTACAGGAGGCAACCAGTTGGTGCTTCTCTTACATCAATGTCTCTCTCTCTCTCTCTCTCTAATCAATGAACATATCCTCAGTGAGGATTAAAAAAAAAAATCTTAATATTTAGTCAATATAACTTTTCTTCCAAGCAGATGTAGAAAAATAGCTCTCTGGGCCACTTTAATGGACTCCAATGTCCTATAAATCATAGTACGTAGTTGAGCTTCCTCTTTGTAATCCTCGGGCCTTTTTTTAGATAGTGTAATTGCTCAATGATAGAACACAGTCCCTTGATTCATAAATAGTAATGCTGAGGACCGAGAGAGTGGATGGCAGGCTTAGGAGGAAAGAAGGTTCCGGAACATCAGCAAAGCTTCGTTCCAGCACCAGAACAGCAGTGACGTGCTCTGGGCCTGGTGAGGGAGGCCGGAGGTCCCCACACCTAGCTCCTGGCCACCCCCTTCTCCTTCCAGAGGGTGGCAGGCACGACCCTGGGGGCTCGTCCGTCCCTGTGGGCAAAAACGAGTGTCCTTTTCTGATGCGTAAGGTCCCCAAAGGCGAAGATTGACAGGAGCACAGAATCCAAGGAAGTGATGATATCTCGGTGACAGGCCTGGCTCGTGTCATGGGACGTTTTGTGCCCTGAATGGTGATCTGCCGGCAGCAGGGCCAGGGGGCACTTTTTTGTCCCTAAGGGTGCTGGGGGCGCAGGGAGACTGGGGCCAGGCCCACCTGTGAGGGAGTGTGACAGTGTCCTCTTTGCGGATGATGGCTGGGAGGACAAAGACACTAAGCCAAGCTCATCCGTGCAGCCAGGGAGGAGGGGCAGCCCTGTCCTATGTCCCATCCAGAGTCCTCTCCTAAGACTTCGTATCGCACACTGTTTCTGGACCTCTGCTGGGCCACACACCTTGGGCCATGTCTCCTGTGTAGTTTCTATGCTCCTGGTGGACTGGACACTCCAAGGGACAGAGTTCCAGGGCCACACGCACACAGGCAGCAACGGATATGGCGCCCCTGGGGGACAGGCACAGCAGGCAGTCCCGCCTCTGTGACCCCCTCCCACAGTCGAGGTGCCTCTCGAGAACCATCTATCCAGAGAAGAGGGAGACACAGGCTCACGGCAGGTGGGAGGCGAAAGAGGGAAATGAGGCCTGTCTTCAGCTTGGTGCTCTGGCCCCCAGACACCCCGAAAACATCCCAGGAAAGTGTTTGGCTCTCCCTGTATTCTCCCTGAGACCCCCAACTCTGCACTCAATGAGGGTGCAGCTCTCCCTCCTCTCTCTGCTGCCCCAGGCGGCCCCCCTGAGCCCGATCAGCAGCTGTGGGCGGTACTGACCTCGGGGGGAAGTGGGCCTTGAACTTGGTCTGGAACATCCTGGCCAGGATGACGAGCAGCAGCACCAGCAGGACGCTGGTTGCCGTGAACGCCACGATCTTCCACGTGGTCAGGAGGGTCTCATGGGTGTTGGGCCACGATTGCTCTGCGGGGGCGGGGAGAGAGACAGAACAAAGGGGCACATGAGGCTCCCAGCCTGTGATGGGTGCGAAGGTCCCACGTGCCTGTTGGCTGCATGTATCTCGCTCAGAGACTGCTCATCGTGTGTCTCCGGAGGCCCCCCCGCCGGCGTCAGGATGCCACCGCGTTAGAACCCATGCCCGGCGGGGTCTCTGCCAAGATGAAGGCAGACCTGCAGGTTCACATTCCAGACCGGGGCGAGAGGGGTCCCTCTCCCCTGGGGAAGCCATGTCCTGTGATGGGCCAGGAGTGGGGACAGGGGAGGCGAGGGGCAGGCCTCTGTGAGTGTTCTGGGACAGACTGCGGGGTGTGGGCAAGGAGGGCACCGAAGGCCAGAAGGGCCATCCCTCTCCGTCGCTGCCACGTCTGCCAGGTGAAAAGGGGGCAAGGCGACCCTTCCAAAATAGAGTCCTATCCCTTTATCCTGTTGACACAAGTCACGCTGTGTCTCACACTGCACTTCCGTTGCTGCCGATGCCTCCCCCCGCCCCCTCCCCTTGCTCAGGGCATGCTCAGGGCATGACCGCCTGCGGGCCTCCACGCGCCCATGTTAACAAGCGCTCCCCTCCCACGCTGTGCCCGGGGAGAGTGTGCAGCCACCCCCACTGCACGGGCGTGTGGCCACGGCACACCTGGAGACCCCCAGGGCGAGTGGGTGGAGGCGGTGGGCAGGTGTCGCTGGTGCTCGGGTCTCTGTCGTAGGACCACTTCCCTGGTTCCCTGAGACCCGTGGCAAGGTTGGTTTGCTAGGAACTTGCTGTGAACTTGGAAGCACTTAAGGTTGCCAACAGCTTCCGTTTTCATAAGCGAGAGGACGCCTTGCCTACGACAAGGCCATTTGTGTGGACCCTGACCCCCCAGCAGGGCGAGGCCCCCGCTCACCTGACTTGATGCAGTAGACCTGATAGGAAGGAAACCAGTCCCCGTACTGGCAGGTGATGTACTTGTAGTCGCTGGTGAGGCTGTAGCCGGGGTCGCAGTAGAACTCCACGACGGTGCCGTGGTTGTAGCGATTGCAAGGCCGCGGGTGGCAGATGAAATCACCGTGACTCACCACGGGAGGCAGCGGACATACTTGGGCAGTGGGGGAGAATAAGGGTTTCAGAACCACGTGTTCACCCCGAGCGAAGCCCTCGAAACACAGATTGGGCCAGGAGACCACATTCCTTAGAGACGTGCTTACACTTTTGTCACCACACTAGCCAGCTGTCCCAGAGACAGTCCCTTCTTCTGCATTTTTGTGGGAAACCTACTATATTGAGCACGTGCTGCTATCACGTGGTCTTATAAAGCACATTGTCAAAGAGGTTCTTTGAACATTGCAAAGAGCATGCCTATTTAATAGATACTATTAAGCTATTCTATGAATAATGCATGGTATTATGTGCCAGACAAGGCAGTAAATAAAACTAAGACATTTACGGACGAAATATTTACTGAAGGGAACAGCTATCCCAAGCCCCTTTTTTCTGTGGCTATGGTAGTAATTTGGGACTGTCCAAATCCCTGGGCAGTGTCCCTAACCCGATTCCCAAACGCCCTGCTGCGGTTTGGCCAGGGACAAACAGGCAGCGATTCCGCTGGCTCGGAGCCTGTGGGCCCAGTCACCGCACCTGGGCCCTGCACCTGGACCCTGACCCGCGGGGGGGGAGGAGCTACACCAGGAGGTGTGCTCGGGGCCTGGTTCTGCCACCAACACTCAGTGATGTCACACAGGTCACTTAACCAATTTAATCCTCGATTTTTCTCCTCTGTTCAATGGAAGCTTCTTCTATCCTCGATGATGTTTTATGGTTTTTCTGAGCTCAATATTCTATGATTTTAGGGAAAGAAACCAGTGGTTTTCAGTTTCCCCCGCTGAGCCCACTCTCTGGGTGGCAACGTAAGAACCGGTCCCTCTCTGTGTCCAAAAGACAGCTTTAGTGGCGCTCGTGCTGGCTCATCTCATGCCGCAAAGACACAGTCAACGCACAAAGCCTGCCAAGGCCAGATCTAGCCCTGCACCTGCAAGAGCCATGAAGTGCTTTGCCCAAAGCACACATGAGGAGAGAAAGAGTCAACTGGGAGCCCCTTCCGGGGACCCAAACACCCGGCCACCGTAGGACCCCAGGCATGTACCCAGCTCACCCACACACAGGGGAGCTGCCTGTTCCACACTGGCTTCTGGAAGGCCACAGAGAAGCATGGCAGTAGTAGTGGCTGGCAGCCACATGTGTCCACTGAGACCAGATAACAAGATGGGTGCCCTGCTCAGTGGGACCAGCCTCATGGAGGCGTCCCAAGGCATTGGATGGGTGGGGGAGGTCTCTACACAGACACTTTTCCTAATCCTGCAAACCACACCACAACACAGGTCTTATCAGCTCTTTTTAGAGATGGGGAAACAGAAACTCAAGGTCAAGTCCTGTCAGCGAAGGTCAAAACTGGAGGCCAAGTTCTCCAGCAGCAACGAGAGGGGAAGACAAGCGCTCAGGCTGGTTGGGGTCTGGGTCCTGCTCAACGCCTCCCCCGCTGGGTGCCCCTGAGCTGGTCGCTTCTCGCCTCGGACCCTCAGTCTCCTCACCTGGGAAACGGGAGTATCTGAGGGTTATTCTCAGATCAGAGCTGACATGCGGACATGGGCAGCTGGGGACAGCCGGGCCTTAGTATCTAAGGAGAGGGACCGTAACGTACTTGCTTCTGCACATGATGGAAAAGCCAAGGGGCAATGAGGGAGGGTCTCTGAGATTAGCACCGGCCGGAGCCCCCACTCAGACCCGTGAGTGGGCAGGGCGTTGCTCGGTGCCCAGCAGCCGCTGGTGCTGTGCAGGTGCGTCCTGTGGGGCTTTAGCTGGGGAACCTCAGACGACACTGGAGACAGCCCAGGGCAGAGAGGTCAGGGCAAAATGCCCAGCGTCTGCACATGCCGCCCTCCTGCCTCGCTCTTGACAAAACCAGTGGGGAGCCAAGGGGCTGGGAGCCAAGGGACCGGGCGCCTGGGGAGCGTGGCCTGCAGTGCAGGGCAAGGGCCAGGGAGGGGTCTGAGGCCACAGCTCCTACAGCTGTTCCACGGATGGGCAGCCTGGTGGGGTCCCCACAGGGGACGCAGGCCCAGTCAGGACTGCAGCTCGGACTCTGAGGCCAAGCGCTCTCCTCTGCTCCCTGCATCGCCTGTCCCGGTAACCGCCTTCCAAGGAGCTGCCCAGGGCCACGGGGTCCCATCACCTGACGTGTTGCCAGTTCCAAACACGGGGTTTCTGGGGGTTCGGTGGGCACCCCCAGCTAGTGAGCGAAGATTCTAGTCCTCTCTGGGAAAAACTCCCAAAGGTTTTCCAAGGGGCCACTGAAGTTTCACGGGCAGTGACCTCCCTGGATAGGCCACGGCTGACCTCAGACTTAGTGGTCAAGGCCTGGCGCGCAGCTCTGTGCCTCACTGGCTGAACTGGCGTGCCCGCCGTCCAGCGTGAGAGAGAGGCAGGCACGCCCTTCGGAACCCTGGAAGCTGGTCCCTGAGTCTCCCGGGGGAAGATACCCTGCCATCTCCCTTTCATGGGGGCAGCCTGGGGAGCTGGGAGAAGCCCGAGTGCTCTCTTCAGTCTCGTGTAGCGTCTCAGAGGGCCCGGACAAGGCCGGGGCTAAGCCTGTGGGGCCCCTCGCCAGGGCTGCGGCGGCATTTGGGGCAGGCAGCGGTTCCTCGCACGTGGCTGGCACTGGGCGCTGCAGGGGGTCTCCACATTTCTGGCTGCCCGTGAGATACCAGCAGCACCTCCCCGTCCTTGGAACACCCCAAAACGCTCCCGGGTGTGTTCAAGGCCTCTAGAATCCTCCCCCGCCCCACTGGAACCGCTCCCTGCCCCTCACCTTCCGCTCTGGCCCGAGGCCCAGCCCGGTCTGCCCAGCAGGCCGGATGCTGGGTGGTGGCCGGAGAGGCAGATGCCAGGGTTAGGGGGCCGCTCTGCCCCTCATTGGCTGAATTACCTCAGGTAAGTCACCTCCCCTTGTCACTCAGCTTCCTCATCTGACACACAGAGAAAACAATTCCCGCTAGTGAGAGCTACTGTGAGGCTTTCTGAGCGAAGGGCACCAAGGAAGTAGCTTGCGAAGGGGGCTTGTATCAGGTACTGCTATAGTCTGGTATCAGGACCTACGTCCCCGACCCTTCGCACCACAAGGTGGGGCTGCTGGGCAGTGTGGGGAAGGAGGCGTCGGCCCAGCGCCTGTGATTCCCTGAGTCCCCAGGGCCCACCTCTGACCTGGGCCAGGTGTCCCTCTGCTGACCCCTGCCTTGGGAGGGACGTGCCTCAGGGCGGACTATCTCCAGGTCCCCCAGCAAGACACGGGAGTGCCCCCTGGCCAGACGTCCCCTCCAGAGCACGCTGACTCCGGGGTCATTCTGGCCTGCGGACCTTCTCCGGAGATGGACGCTGCCTGGCTCTCAGGAGGCCTGCGGCGCTCGCGGGCCTGAGGGGCTGAGGGCAGAGGTGCTGGGCCTCCCACCGCGCCCTCTGCCATCCTGGCTGGCTGCTCCTGGGGGGTGAACAGCACCGCCCTCTCCATCGACGGGGCTTCCCTGCGACACAGTTAACCTGCCCCCTCTGCCCTGACGGGGACACACAGCTGCGTCTCCCACCCAGTCACCACGCCCGCTCTCAGCCTCTGATCATTTCCGCCAGCGACTCCCAGCCTCTTCGGTGAGTGCTGTTCACGACACGGATCGGGGTAGGGGGTGGGCATCTCAAGGGCCCCAGGGTCCAGCAGCAAATGCTACCTTGGGTTTCGGAGGCAGGAGCACCGGAGCAGAAACCCGTGCTGTCCCCAGACCAGCGTGTAGTCGGAGCACGGCTCCCCTCCCGTCCTTCTGCCCAGGCAGCCCCACGTCCGCTGTCTGAGCGCCGAGGTCAACTAATCCTCGTGCCTGAAGCAAAGCGAAGTTGGAAAGAAAGCCTGATGCAGTTCTAAGTGGAAACACACAATCCCTTAACAGCTCCTCCTGTTCTGTGCTATCAGCACTACAGCGGCGGCGTAGAAAAGGGAGCTGATGAGACCCGGACAGGTGGCATTTCAGACCCTCTGGCAGGAGAGCCTCTGCACGCTCCCCTCCAAGTGCCCTGACTGTCCGTAGTCTTCCACTCCTGGGGGAAGGGCGACTCCGCCCCCCCTGCGTGCGACCCCCTTCTCTCCCGCCTCGGACACCAGCCCCCGGGTTCTCAGGCCTTCAGACTCTGACTGAATCACACCCTCGGCTTCCCTGGGTCTCCAGCGTGCAGACCTCGGCCACCATGATCACGCGAGTCAATTCCTAGAATGGATATCCTCTTTTACCCCTGCCATTGCTGTGCTCTCTGCTTGTAAGCTGAGCACCCAGAACACCCCCTATAAGGCTCAGGGACCACAGGGAAGGAGGTGGTGTAAGAGTCGGAGAAGGGGGTACAATGCGCAGAATCCTCCCTCTTCACTGACCCTGGGCCCGGTTGCCCTAGTTCCCTCAAGACTGAGGAAAGAACAACAAAAACGGAGGATTTGTAACCACCGAACCAGCTCAAAAGGCTCCTGTCCTGTTTAACAACATACTGAGTTGTTTTTCAGGGACAACAGCCCAAGACTGCAAGTCATGCAGCAGAGCATGCACAGAGGAGAGAACTTTGACCTCCAGCTTCACCTGGAACCAGTCTTGCCCCTCCCCCAGAGCAGAACCAGAGGGCCAGGACACAGCTGGAACTTAACACCAGAACCCTTTCAGGAGCCAAATGCCTGCTGTCCAGGAAGATCAGGTGTTGATTTGATGCCCCTTCACTATCAATGGCCAAGCTCCAAGGTCCTCCAGTTAAAACTTCCCCACCAGCGCTGCCGCACACCTGTTCCCCAGCCCCTCAAAAACTGTAGCCTAGTCCAGCGAGCGAGGTGCACGTGAGGCACATTAGGTCACCCATCTTCTCAGTGCCTTCTTAAACAATAAACCTCCCTTTACTAAAAAAAAAAAAAAAAAATCCTCTTTTATTATCTATCCATCCATCCATCTATCAATCTAATCTTCTATTGGGTTCGATTTCTTTGGAGAACCCTGACCATCAGAGCTCCCCCACTTGAGTCTCCAA